CCGTGTCGGTGCTGGCGGCCGTGCGCGGCGGCGACGAAGTGCGGCGCGTCCGCGAGAGCAACGTCCTCCACGAGAAGTCCAAGGGGAAGACGCGCGAGGGGGCCGACGACAAGATGACCAGCGGGGACGTGCTGTCCAACCGCAAGATGTTTTACCTGCTCAAGACCGCTTTCCCCAACGTGCAGGTGGGTGCCGCGAGCGCCGGGCCGGGGGCGCTGAGGCTCCGCAGCGTGGGAGCCGGGGTCCCGGCGCCTTGACGCCTCGAACAGCCCCAGATGGTAGGGCTCTGGCTCCCATTTTGCAGATCTGGAGACTGAGACACCCAGTTTTAGGTGCTCAAGGTCATACAGAGAGTTCCTGGAAGAGCTGGGTGAGGTTGCCGGTCCTCTGACCCTGGGCGCCTGCCCTTATGGCTCATCCCCTGGTGTGCGTGCCCTCTTGGTACCTGGGATCTGCAGCTCTGGGTCTGAGTGGGCCCTGATATCAAAAGGATGAGAAAGTTAACTTCACTCCCTGCTGCAAGCTTTTCTGTAAAATGAAGGGGTTGAACCAGAACCCTCAAGGCCCTCTTGCCTTCTTTGGTTTAAGTGCTGGAAGGGTCGTGACTGTGAAATACACTTATCCTGGTGGACCTGCCGGGAGCCAGCTGGAGGCCAGGACTGTGAGCAGGCCTGCTGTGGAGCTGGTAGTATTTAGTGCGCGGGGCTTCCGTGGTGTGCTCCGTCCTGGTTTACTTAAGCTCCGATCTTCTCAGGACCCTGGTAATGGTGTATATTTGGGGGGCCCTTCAAGGAGGTGTTGGAAGTATATTTCCCAGCAACTTTATTTCAGCCATCTATCCCATATTTACTCCGAAGAATAAGAATTGAGGAAGACTTACTTTTTCCTTGGGTAGGTTTCTAGGGAAACCCATACATTTTGTTATTAATACTATTAAAACTCATCATTTCAGTGCAGCTGCTGCTGAATGAATAAAGCTCTCTGAAAGGTATTACAATTCCAGAGGAGGAGCTTAACAGAGTGGCAGTACTTTATAAGTGTATGTCCTGACTCACCTAACAGTAGATTTTGGCGACGGGGAAGAAAAATTGTTGCCAGTGGAATTTTATTAATTAGATAAACAGTGAAATGTAAACTGCGGCTTTTTTGGAAGGTATCTGACCTTTTAGTGTTGTTCTTGTAAGACTTAAAGTATTGTAGTTGCAGAATTACGTGTCTTGTGTAACCCTCTCTCCAGTCTACCCTTCTATTGTTTTGGCTTGCTTTCTTTTTCTTTCTTTGTCTCTTTTTTTTTCTTACTGTCTTTTTTTTTTTTCCTTTTAAAAATTTTTTTTGCAGTGGGAAGGAACTTTGGCTCTCATGTTATGAGCTGCTGGATACCAGATGTAATTGACACGATAATTCTCAAACAAAACAGAACATCTCAGGTTTTTCTTTTGCCCTGCTGTGCCTTATCATCACAAATAATACTTCTCTTGCATTTGCATCTAGACATAAGATGTGCTTGTAAAATATCTTTCTCATTTCTCCAAAGCACGTATTTGTCCTTAAGAGTTTGGAAAAACGGGAGTTTCAGAGAAGTTGCTATATGATAATTATAACAGTAATAACAGTAATCATTTACTGAGTGTATTTTAGGTGCCCAGATCCTGGCTACAAGGGACTTTCATTAATCCTCACAGCAACTTTAAGAAGTGAATTTTATTCCCACTTTACAGATGGGAAACCCGAAGCTCATGACACTCCATTCCACAGTTTGTATGAACTACTTCTAAGGAAGCCACTTAAAACAAAATTTATAGTAGAAGCTTAAAAGCAAAAATAGTGAAATATAGCAGCAGAGTTGAATTTTTGCAAAAGGCAAAGACTAGAGGCCAGATGTTGTAGCCATCTAAGTCGAGACTCAGCCCTACATTTTTTCCCTTTTTCTTTCCTCCTCCAACACCCAGAAGTACAGTCTTAAATGTCTGGTGATCTTGAAGCCTCACCTGAAATTTTTTGATAAGGATCTTAAGGCAGATCCCACTCAGTTTACGTCCTGATGGAAAACTGGCATTGAGAAGCCGCAGATGCGCCTTTCTTTTCTCCTGGTGCCCTGTGCACATGGAGAGAGGCCTCTTTCTCCCACGACATTCCCGTCTAGAGTCAGAGGCTTGAGCTCTCCTGTCTCATGTTTACTCAGTAAAAGGATGCTCCAGGTATCACTCTAGAGTACTCAGCTGGGGACAGGCCCTCCCCCCAGGGACATTGGGCAATGTCTGAAGATTTTTGGTTGTCACAGCTGGGGGCAGAATGCCATTGGCATCTAGTAGGTCGAGGGTGGACATGCCATAATGCACAGGACAGTCCCCCATAATGAATTATCTGGCCCTATTTGTCAGTTGGTGCCCAAGCTGGAAACCCCAGCTCTAGAGAAGTGCATGTTATCCTAAGATAACTCAAGTTCAGCCTAGGATCTCTGGATTCCCTTTTGTCTTCAGCCTTTCTCATGTTTGAGATCTCGGGAGCATCCTCAGGGCAGCCTTTCTTCTTTTCCTGGGCTTTTTCATACCCAGAAATCGCAATGATCGATTTCATTGTGTGAAGATAATAGTAATGACAGCCATTTGTATGACACTGTCTCATTATATCCTTGTGGATAATGATGAAAATGAAGGCTGAAGACAGTTATTTTTGGAGTGAATTGGCAGCCACAGAACAGACAGATTTAGATTTATAGTTTTGATTTAACTTACAAGGAACTCTCTTTTTGAGGGGCTCCTGTCCTCGGCTTGTTACAAGTTCTTGACAGTGATTTATTTGGAGATAAAGCATGATACCCCAAGCTGGTGGGAGTGTTGGGTCCTGCGCCTTCCTTCATTTCTAGAGCGAGAGTGAAGCTCCTCTCTCAACAGAAATACTCACTGGAAAAGTTTGAGACGTGCTAACATAGTGCAAAGAACACCTGGCTTAACGTCTTGTCCAGGCACCAGGCTGGGTGATCCTGACCAGTCACTTAGCTTCTCTGAGCTACAGTTTCTTCTTCTGTAAAATTGAGATAACTAGCAATTTAATAATTAGTGCAGGCATAAGCATTTCAGACAGATAAAAAATAAATTCAAAGGAGCAGGCCTAACAGTAGTACTGTAGTAAATTCAAGTACCCTGATGAATTTGGATAAGATGCACGTTGGAGACTTACTGGAGAAGAAATTAGGAAGGGAGACACGGGCTGGATCATATGCCAGTCTCAGAGAAGTTTGTGCCCGATCTTTAGTTCACTCCTGGAGTACTAAAAGAAAGCCAGGTTCCCCTGACTTTTCTTGACACCTGCAATGTGCCGTACTTGGTTTGGGCTTTGGACCTTTGGAGGTGAGAGGGACCAGTTAGGACGTTGCTGAAGTAGACTTTGTGAGAGAGGAGGACTCCAGCTCAGGCAGTGGGGAAGCTGTACTCTGCTTGTTTTACTGGCTAACTTTTATTTGGTCCTCAGTAAGTGGCAAGCACTGAATTAAGCTTTTTATTACCATTATTAATTTACTCTTGACAACATAGGAGGTTAAGTACCATTTCCACCATTTTCCGATAAATAAATTGAGGCTTGGAGAGGCTAAGTAGTTTGCCAAAGGTTACACAGCTAGAAAATCATCTTGGGCTCACAGAGATTCATTTAATGGCCTAGGAATGATCTCATGTCTGTCTCATTCTGTGTATAAGGCAGTATAGGAGGTATAACTGAAGTGTGCTCTTGACTACAGGTTTTTAAAGGTTGGAAGGGCGCAGGGTGTAGACGCTTGGAGAGTGGTTGGGAGGGGTTAGAGCAGTTAGGAGGCTTTCTCAAATGAGAGATAATACATTTTCAATTCATAGAACTTGTTATGGTTGTAGAGAAGATACATGTGTAAGTATGAGAATTTCTAGGGATGTGTGTCAGAAGTGGCTCCTGTTTCTGGCTTTCACAGTTGGTGTTTTTCTGGTGCTGAAGGGCAGCACGTTGTGAGCGCCACCTTAGACTTGCCGAGTTAGAGGTGCCTCAGGTATGTCCGACGGGCTTACTGAGCAGGTAGTTGACTACATGGGTCTGAAGAGACATCTGAACTGGAAATATAAATGTGTGAGTCGTCAGTGTCGCGACATTAATTGAGCAGTCCAGCTGTGGGCAGGATTGCTTAGGGAGAGAGCACAGTGTGAAAGGGGAGATCAGAGCCTGGGACCAAGGATAACAAAAACTGAAAATGATCATTTAATAAGAATATTAACAGCCAGCTTTTGTTAAGTGCTTCATCTGTGTTAAGCACTGTACGGTTTGTCTTGCCTCTTCTGTTTCATTGATTGACCCAGAGAACCCTATAAAAAGATACATTTGTCACCTACTTTTAGCAATAAGGTAACTGCAGCTCAGAAAGATCAAGTGACTAGCCTAGGTGAGTCACATACCCAGAAAGAGGAGGAGCTGGAATTTAACCCAGGCACTCTGGTGATGGATACACACTCTAAATCATGGTTCTGTATGCAGGTCATTGGTAAACTGTGAGGGTTTGCTTGGCGGCTTGATGGGAAGGAAACAAAATTGAAAACTGAAAAAAGACAGGAGGTAAAGAAATAGAAACATTGGATCAAGACAAGTCTTTCAAGAAATTGTGCTTCTGAGGAGCTTGGCTAGAGTGTTGTGTGGGACTAAGAGAAGGTTCTGTGGATGTTTGTTTCATATGTTTGTGTTAGTGTCTGTGAGCCGCTCGAGCGTGTTTAATTACTTGTAGGGGTGTATTGGACAGGTAGTACTTGACTTTGAAAGCATAGGGAGAAGACAGCAGAGAGCAGTGTGTATCCATTTAGAAAACAGTTCTTGAATGCCTGCTGAAGGCACAGTGCGAGGCATTATATCAAAAAACTTACTGGGATGTAACGATTTATGGAGAAAAGCAGTAAAGAAGATCTTCTTGCGGCATTAACCAAAGCCTATTCGACCCCAAAGTAACTGAACTGTTACAGATAGGATTAATTGTATTTTAGGGTTTTGATTTCTTACTCTTCAAGTTCCTGGTGAGGACTGAGTCAGATAGGCAGTAGTTGTGCGAGTAGATTGAGTGGGAAGTATCACAAGGAAGAAATGAAACTCCACTGATGAAGAATCATGTTGTCAGTCAGGAAGCACTTATTTAGCACCCACTGTGCCAGGCACTGGTTTGGGCAGTGGGGATAGAACTATAGTAGTGAGGGACACCGCCCTTGAACTCACAGAACTTATGTTCTAGTGGGTCAGGATAGATAGTAAACGTGTAAACAAATATGTTGATTTCAGATGCTAATAAGGGTTTTGAAGAAGAGTAAGTAAGACCTTGTGGGAAAAGTGATGGGGGCGGGGCCTCTCCAAGGCACTGTCACAGGGACTGAGAACTGGATGATAAGAGGGAGACAGACCGTCATGCTGAGATTTGGGGAGTGTGTGAGCAGAAGAGTACAGGTACAGAGGCCCTGAGGCCAAGGGATAAGAAGAATACAGGTAAGTCTGGAATGGAGTAAATAAGGGCGAAAATAGAGAAAGAACTGGAACCAGATCATCTAGGACTTACCTTGTAGATGGTGGTAAGGAGTCTGGGTTTCATTTCTATGTAATGAGAAACCATTGGAAGGTTTTAAGCATAGGGTGACATGATCTGATTTAGGAAGATGGCAGGTTGCTGGATTGGGAAGGGAAGCTTCATAAAGGCAATAATTGGTCTGTTTTGTTTGTTATATCTCATTACCCAAACGGTTTAGAATGCGCATTTTAAATACAGCTTTGTCAGTTATACTTCAGTGAAGCTGAGGGAGAAGGCCAGAATATGCCACCAGTGCCACAGCCTTAATTGTTCTAGCATCAAAATAAGTCTTGATTTCTGGTAAGGAAAGTCACCCTGCTATGACTGATAGATAGACAGTTGGATGGATGGATAGATGGATAGATAGATAGATAAATTTTTCCCCTTTCTCCAAAATGACTTGCTCTGTTTCCAAGAAGGGATTAGGGAAAAAAAAATCCTGTAGGGATTTTGATTGGAGTTACTTTAAATCTGTAGTTACAGATGGGAGAATCGACATGTTTATCATTTAAGTCATAGTGTTTTTAAGGCATATTATTTAAGTCCAAGTCCATTGTCACTTTTCTCTTTCTAACTCTCATAGTTATTTGTATTTGGTTCAGTGTTCCAAAATATAGTCAGTCTGTTTTCACACTTTTAGATCTGTTATTTTTCCTAAATATCATTAAACTTTAAATAGCTTATTTCTCTGATGTTCAGTTTCTCTATATTTCTCTATATTTGGATTCTCTGTCTTGCTTACAAAACATGCCAAGCTTGAATATTAAATTGGAAAGCACCGGAAGTTGATGTAGCTGGAGTTTCTTTTATAATGTATTTTCATTTTGCAATGAAATTCCTTAAAATAAAAATATTAATTTATCTACTTTCAGCTTATGTGATTTTGTCTGAATTGTTTTTCTCGTTTGTGTTTTTTTAGGCAGTGATATTTTCTTTAAAATTTTTTAACTGTCAACTGTCTTTGGTGCAGATAAATACTGAGGAGCATGTAGATGCAGCTGATCAGGAGGTTATCCTGTGGGACCGTAAGATCCCCGAGGACATCCTGAAGGAAGTGGCCGCTCCTCAGGAAGTGCCAGCAGAGAGTGTCACTGTCTGGATCGACCCGCTTGATGCTACACAGGAATATACGGGTAACTTTAAAGTGAAAATTGATCTCAGACTTCAGATTGCCGTTATGTCTCAGAGAACCAGAAGAGGGCGGGTGGTACATACACAGTGGTAAATGTTTTACCATCCTGACACGACTTTTCCAGTTAGGTTTTAAGACAGAGAGCTGGATTGAAGCGGTGCAATGTGAGACTCCCGGAGTGCGTCGGGTATTCTGTACCATCCCGCCCCCCCGTGTTATGGCTTACTCCTCTCCGTGGTAGAGGCTCACTGCCTCGCTGGTTCTTTAGTGAAGGGAAGTTTCTAGGAGTCACAACAACAAAATGGTTCTTACTGGACACCTGTTTATTGAAGTGTTTGTTTATATATTGAGGTATGTGTTTTTGAGGTATTTATTTACATAGCCAGAATATAATACTTACTTGTGATTTTAGGAATTTATGTTTATTGCATAATTATCTATTCTTGGAATTCAAAATAATGAATCCTGTGCACCCAGAGAACAAGTAAATAGCAGAACAGAGAATTCCTTCCCCCACTTCCTGCCTCTACTCTTTCTACCCTGTCCCAGCTCCTGCTTAGTCTCCGTAGGTCCTCTCCCAGGCCTTGTTTCTTGCCCGGGGATGGGCAATTTCTGTTTCCCTTTGTTCTTTTGGCATGTTTGTAAAAGTTGATTGCTTAGGTAGTCGACCTTCTAGATGGCAAGTTCTCTGAATGTGGGGATTTCTGCTTTCGCACCTTTGTATTCTAGAGCTTAAAGCAGTGAATTTGACCCAAAATAGACACTCAGTACGGAATTACTTGACGAACGAGGAGAAGACACTAAATGTGTGTATCTAAGAGTAACTGAAATTAAAAAACAATATGTTGCAGGAACAGATAACAGAAATATGGAATATTGAGAGGTTTGTTTATAAAGTTTTTCTTAGACTGAAATTGGCTTGATACATAATAGTGATAACATTTAGTTAGCACATGCCTTGTGCAGGGACTGTTCTAAGTGCTTGAAACTTGATTTTTAAATTCAACCCTATAATTATTTTAATAATGATTTTGTTTGTTTGTTTTTTTCTTATAGAGGATCTTCGAAAGTATGTCACTACTATGGTGTGTGTAGCTGTAAATGGGAAACCTGTGCTAGGAGTAATACATAAGCCATTCTCTGAATATACAGGTGAGAAACCTGCTAGAGCTGGAACAGGTACTGGTATGAGCAGCCGTGCTGACAGTCTGAAGGAAATCTTCATAGTTTTAACTGGTAACTCCCATCAAAAACACCAGCTAGGATTCTGGCCCTTTGACTTCATTGTTCTTGTAAGATGATAAGTTCTTGATGGTGACAGTATCCACTTTGCCAGTATTGAAAGCAGCCCTCATGACCAGGTATGGTGGGTTGAATAATGTCTCCTTCAAATTCACGTACATCCCTGTGTTAGTTCCAAGAGCTACCATTAAAAACCAAACAGTGTGTCTTTAAATAACAGATATATAGTCAGTCACAGTTGTTGGAGGCTAGAAGTCCAAAATCAAGGTGTTGGCAGAGCCGTGCTGTCTGAAACCTACAGGGAAGAATCCTTCCATATTCTTCTCTTAGCTCCTGGTAGTTTGCCAGCGATCCATGGTATTCCTTGGCTGTAAATACTACACTCCAGTGTCTGCCCCTGTCATCTCATGGCCTTCTCCCTGTGTGTCTGTGTAAAGACACCAGTCATACTGGGTTAAGAGTCCAGCCTACTCCAGCATGACCTCCTCGTACCTAATTATATCTGCTAATAACTAATGGTCCTATTTTCAAACAAAGTCAGATTCTGATGTTCTGGGGGTTAGGACTTCGGCATATCTTTTGGGGGAACACAACCCATAACAACCCAGAACTTCAGAGTATGGCCTTCTTTGGAAATAAGGTCTTTGCAGACACCATTAAAGAAGTATTAACGTGAGATCATTCCGGATTAGGGAGGGTTCTTAAACCAATGAGAGCTTCCTGTAAGAAACAGTACACAGTCACACGGATGTGAGAGGATGTGATGGTGGAGGCAGAGGCTGGAGTGCTGTGTGTGGGCCAGGGAACCCCAAGGACTGCTGGTGGCCTCAGAAGCTAGGAGGGAGGCACGGATCGGCTTCTCCCTCGGAGCTTCCAGAAGGAACAAACCCTGCCAGCATCGTGATTTTGGACTTGCTGGCCTCCAGCAAGTGAGAAAGGAAGTATTTCTTACTGTAAGCCGCTGCATTTGTGGTGATGTGGTGCCCTCGGAAGCTGACACACCAGGCATCCATGTGGTTTTATCATTCACTCCAGCCTTATCCACTGTGTCTCATTGGTGTGGCTGACACTGCATAAAATGCTGTCTGTCAAGTGGGGAGAAATGCAGACAAGGTTAATTTTTTATTACTCTAGATTTATTTGCTTTGCAGAATAACCTTGGACCCACATTCTAGCTGCTCTGAGATAGGCTAAACATATGTATGAGTATTTGCTCTGCATTTCAAAACCAGATCTACTTTGTGCT